TCCTTGTCTTTTCAGGTAGGTGCCTGTTACATATTGCCATTCCATTAAGAAAATATTATTGCATACATTAAAAGATTGTTGATAATAATCAATAGTGCTTATTAAGTTTCATGCACAGGGTGGACATTTCATTGGCTATATATTTATTTTCTTAAATTTCAATGTAAATGTACATAGTCATTTAATATTCAATTTATATGGTCTCAGGAATATGTTTTTAAACATTTAAAAGCGTCTGATGTTTTTATACTTTGAAATAGTGACTCTTAAACTATCCAGGATTTTCAGTATTCTGTTTTAAGAGCTAATTATGTCTACATTAGTTTCCTCATATGTATAGATAATTGTTACATAAAGTTGAACTTTGACTTCTATATAGTGGCAGCTTAGTTCACAAATGCTTTTCTTGGTGAGTAATTTGGTTCAGAAACAGAAGCATTTGGCAATTATTTATGTGTGTGCAAACTGCATCAGAAGACAGCCACAACTGTTGTCATCTTTCCCACACAAATACAAATGTGACCATCTTTTTCCAAAATCATAGCACAAATTATGTTCATCAGCTGAAGTATTGCTGTATAAACATTATTATACAGCAACACTTATTACTGTAAACATAAGTATAAGTCAAAAGTGAATCTGTATTAAATTATTCCATCTTCTTTTTATTAATGTTGCTGAATATTATAGAATTTTAAAACTTATTAATATAGCATATTTATTCTCAACTTATGTGAGTAAATTTTGCCTTTTATTTTCATTCTGTTAAGGAAATACGTCCTTTGATGTGATGTGTACTTTCATATTGAAGAATTTTCTCAAAGGAAAATTGCGGTTTCGGTTTTTTGTTTCATTTTGTGTTTTGAGATAGGGTTGCCTCTGTAGTTCAGGCTGGCTTTTAACTCACTATGCAGCCCAGGCTGGTCTTGGTCTTAATGATCTTCCTAATACTGCTGGCATTACAAGCATGTGCCACCATGCCCAGTGGCAAAATGTATTTTATATCCTTTATCCTTTGGTAGCAGTGAAATACTCCCTGTTACCCCCCCACACACAGTGAAAGTCCTCATAATTAAAATATCATAAAAGTGTTTTTAAATGACATAGTTCTTACTGAATGCCTGTTTATCACTGACAGTTACTGTTTTTCATAATTAGCTGCAGACCTTATGTGTAAAAACTTAAGAGAATTTGAACATTACAGTTCCAGATTAGTTCATTGCAAACAATTTTCTCATTTTCCACAGGACAAGGTGATTTTATTAAACATAGTGTGTATATTTGATGAATATGTAAGTATGTATTTTTATTGAATTTGTGGTCCATCTCTTGTCACCTGTTTTATTTCTTAATCTGCTTTGTACAGGTAGTGCCATCAAGATGCTTCATATGCGTCAGAAGTAAGATGCCTGGAAAGTGATAGCAGTGTAATTACATACTACATCATAAATGCTCCAACTTTGGCACAGTTGGAGATTAGTTTAGAGTTTTGAATTAATCTGAGTGACCCCAGCTTTACTGCTGTTGAGATTCTAGAAATGATAAAATGTCAAATCACTGGGAATAGTCCAAACACTCTGACATGACTAACGCATAGTTTCTCTGACTTGTTCCATATTCTTTAGATTTTATTACCAACTGCAATATTTCCATTGAGAAATGCTTGTCTTAATGAATGTGTTTGTTGTCTGCCTTCCTAAAATGTATGTCTGTTATATACAGCACACAAAACCCACTGCTCTGTATATTTCAGTTTTATATGCACTAAAAGCTAAATGCACAAAGGAATATAAGTGGTGAATCAAAGTTATACTTTGATCATATCTTAATTTTGAGTGATGCTTGTTAGTGGGATGCTAAATTCATTCAATTTTGAGACAATGCTATTTTTCAGCTGTCTGCAAGTTTTCCAAAGCCATTAGACGATAATGAAATCTGTGGCCATGCTCTAAAACAACCATTTATCCAAATTAACTGCTCACATAAGATATTGATAGAGTACTACCAAGAATGGATTTCTTCACATTTATTGTTTTTAGCCTCATAAAACATTCTTTTAAAACCATGAAATTCATATCTTGGCACATTATCTTAATATGGAAGCTGTCTCATCTGTAGTTGATATTATTGGATGTCCTTTGAGTTACCTTTCAAAGTTTATTATTTTTATTGGACTATTTCAATTCTGGCTAAACTCTTCACATTTCCACAATCCCTTAGAGTTTACTCTGAGTATATTATTTCCCTTGACATTTAATTACTTTATTTTTACATTTAACAGATTTTCAAAGGAAAAGCTAACTTGTGAATCTACCATTATCTTGAAGTTGCTCTCATGGGATGGCTTGTGAATATACTAGATGGAGTATTCCACGCCATGCTGTGCTAAAGACCTCATCAGATATCTGTCCTTCTGTGCTCTGATGCTCATTTCCTGCCACCACTAATACTCACTCTCAAATATCTTTACCCATTTCCTTGTTAATTGTTAACAGTGACACTCATAACTAAATGTTCTGCTAGGGAAGGATTTATAGTACAATGTTCAACAAAAGCTCCCATTTTTCTATCTTTTCAGAAAAAAATCAAGACATCCTAATACTGACGGGCTATTAGACTGGAGTAGCCTATTTGTGTTATTGATTCAAAACTGTCTTTTGCTTCTAGCTCTTTAAACCAGTCACAAAGTGACAGGCAAAGGATACAAGATACAGCTTCTGAAAACTGTATTTCTATTTAGCTAACCTCAAACAAACAAACAAAAAAAAAAGGAAATGAATAATAACTCATGTATTTTGTACTTAAATAAGTATGTCTGTGTCTTGTTACAATCAACAGTAATTCACCAATCCTCATATTTGCTTATGTCCCTAGAGATCTTTAATAGAATTAAGTTAGCTATATAATATGTGTGCCTTGAAGAAAGTAGGTAGTGAAGCTGTAGTAGATTCCACTTATGTAATTATGGCTGTTTGAAATCAGACAAATTGGGCCAAGGACTTAGCTCAGTGGCATAAGCGCCTGCCCGGCAAGCGTGAGGTTGTGAGTTCAACTGCAGGTACAAAAACCAAAAAAAGTCAGACAAATTGAACTTCAATGTCTTCCTCTATTTTTCTGGAGATAACAGAGAAAAAATAACAATACTTACATTTTTCTTCTTTGATTTGATTATTTCAATTTCAGACTGTATTTTAAATTTGACAACCATTAAACATCTGGCAACCACTATGTAAAATATTTGAAAATGATTTTTTAAAAAAGTAGAATTCTAGGGTATAAATACTTACAAGGGTGATCAATTAATTTGATTTTACATCAGTTAGACTTCTTCATAAAGTCTGTGCAACATATCAGCACTGCTACTGGGAGGTTTTATTATTTTTTGTTTGTGTTGGTTATTTATTTAAACTTGACAGTACATTACTTTAGAAAAATATTTCATATGCTCCTTGAAGATAAATATAAAAGTAATTCAGTTAGTTTTAATAGTATTGTAGAGCCTGAAAAATATGTCTTCTGTTTTGTACCTTATGAAAAAGCTTTTAGTGAATATTTATCGCTGTTGAGAAAAATTATATGATTCACTGTGGTGTTTCTATTGGATATAAATAATGCTAATTTGAACAGAATTACAAAAGCAAATGAAAAATTTTTATGATGATGTAAAAGATGTAAAGATATTACTGGTACTGGGGCTAAAGAATTTGCTAAATTGTACATTTGGTTGTGAAAAAAATTAGGAAACATTTAAAAAATAATTATAAATAAGACAGTGACTGAATGTCTTCATGCAGGATTATGCTTTTCAAACATTTCTGAAGCAAATAACTGTAAAAGTGTAATGTGATTTGTTGAATGAACTTTACGTTCATGACTCAATTTCTATAAGCTTTTATTTCCATTAAAGTAATCAATGTTTGTTTTTGTAGTGTGAAATTACCCATCAGAATCCGGTAACAGACTGTGAAATACAATTTCAATATCAAAAACAGAAGTCTGGATTTTTGTATTTAATTTTGCTTCCGTATTTTTATTACCTCCTTTTATTTTCCTTACTTTGATTTGTATATAATATTTACCCTCATATTTTTGCTTTGATGAGATATCAGTAAAAGTAGGCACATTTTTCTTCATGCCATACTTCTAAATGATGAACACAATTCTTATTATGTATATATATATATATGTGTGTGTGTATATATAATTTTACTTCTATAGGGTTTACAATTTTTCAGTGTCTTGGAGTATGTTTCTTTAATTTTTGTGATTCAGTGTCAATTTCATAGTGTTATATGTGTGCTCCACCTGGTGGTATCAATGATCATTTTATTTTTTGCTCTTTTAATGCTAACATGGGAAATCAAATTTTAAATACTGAATTAAAAAATTTGCAAATTATCAACACAGTGAAAATTTAATATGTAACATCATAGTCTCCATCAATATATTACATTTAAATAGAGCAATTATGATATTCATTAATTCTACAAATCATCATTGCAGATTATTCTTGACTGATTTACAACCGTAACGTTCTATTAATACATAAGAATCTGTCTTATATGTACTACTACTTATCATCTGTCTCTTTATCTGTCTTATTTTTTTCTACATATGTAATGTGAATCTTGAAACCCGTATTTTTTATAATGGTGTCAGTTGCTGTCTTCTGTATTTGGTACTGAGTATGAGTATCTCTACCCTCACATTTGGTAGGCAGTGTATTGTGATACCACTACTATATATAATATTTCCACTTGATAATTTAATTAACACACTCTCAATTCTAAATTAGAGTTCCACAACTGGTCCTACTGAAGTGAAAAATGAAGTTATGTCTTGTTTTTATAATCCTTAGCTCTACAAATTCACCTTTTGAGCATTTCACTCGATAGTGTTGCAAATTTGTTTTACTTTCTGTAGGTTTATAATATTCAAATCCAAAATTTTACTGTACATTTTACTAAATATATACTGTCAATACAAATACTATTTTTCAGGCATTTTCCACCTGAAAGTTCCTGAGTCATCTCCTATTGGTTCAGCAATTGGAAGAATAAGAGCAGTGGATCCTGACTTTGGACAAAATGCAGAAATCGAGTATAATATTGTTCCAGGAGATGGTGGAAATTTGTTTGACATTGTCACAGATGAGGATACCCAAGAAGGAGTCATCAAACTCAAAAAGGTACATAGACACATTTTTGGCAGTTGATTATGTAAGAAAAATGGAAGAATTAAAAATTGTAGATAATTTAAATTTTCCCTCAGTTGTCAATATTTTATATAAATAGATCCAGTAACTATGAAATGTTTATATCCATGAACACTGTTATGCTGTGAATTAACAGGCAGTTTTTGTACACTTAACAATAAATTATTCATATTATTTTGAGCATATTAACAGTCATATGAGTTTCATTTTAAATTAATTTTGTTATTATAAATATAGATGTCAATTATAAAAAAAGATACAGAAATCAAATTTTACTATATCCTGGTGTGGTGTGGTCTTGATCATTTTATGATTTTTTGAGACTAAAAGTATCTGAAACACCCCTTATTTACAGGAATTGGGGAAAGAGCGGGGGAACCTTAGCCCAGGTCACTTTTAGTCACCACAGGAGTGAAAGAAATCACAGGAATGAGGGAGCACCAAAGAGGGAGGTGAACAGAAGGCTGCAGGGAGGGGAAGCAAGAAACAGAGACAGAGAGAAACACGCGGGGAGAGGAGGAGCGTGAGGAAGGGTGCGGTGAAAGAAATGATGACCACACTGAATAGAATTTAATTCTAGCCACCAAAATTGTGTATTTATGCTGATTTTGAAAATTACAAATAGAGATAGTAAGCAAAGAAAGTAAACAAAGGATCTAAAAACCATCACTATCAGCAGTGACACCTTCAAACTTGAAAAACATAAGGCAAAATGATAACAAGATAGTGGAAGGTAGTCTTAGGAATTTAATTAAACTCTTATCGATGTTCATCCATTACTTTTGTTAGTTTATTTTTCTCTTTCCCCCCAGTACCAAATCAGACTTGTCTCTGTTTTTTTCATTGAAAAGACTAATAGTTAAATATTTTACAAACATCTATTTAAATGGAAAAACATAAATTCTCTAACTGTGAAAAACAGTAGAAGCTATTTTATACCAGCTGATCATAAATCAAATATAAAGTTAAATTCTTACAAAGTGAGACAAATTCAGAATGATCAATGATATATATGCATTACATATTTATGTTTATATATGTATTTATATTGATATTGTTACTATAAATGAATGTTACCTATAGTTTATTTGCGAGTACCATCTACAGATATTTACAGAATGGTCACCATTTGCTAGAACTCATCTGGTCTCAGCACACAGAGCACTGAATTAAACAGATACTTTGTCTATTCTCCAGAAGCTTCCATTTAATTAAGAAAGCCTGAAAACAAACAAAGACATTAAAAATCACTGTGGCAGTAACTTTAAAGACCATAAACTGAGGTAAAAAGCTAGCAAGTGCTTGAGAGGCAGAGACTTACAGTGAGTTGATCAGACTTTTTGGTGAGGAAGAAGTGTGGGCAGAAATCTGAAGGAACAGGAGCAGTGTGGTGTCTGGTTGATGTGTGCTGTGAAAACTTGAGCATCTGTTGGCAAATCTCTGAGGAGAGTGTGCAGTGATGAGGAGACTGACTGGAGATGTCCTTGGCTGAGGATGAGGTCACCTAGCGGAAGATGCCTTCATGAGGTGCCTTGAACCAGGCCAAGGACTCTGAATTTCAATACTATCTGAGAGCTTGGGATGAGTGGAGATCTAAACCACCTTCATACTTGAGAAGTAGGTTGCTCCTTGAGCTTATGGACAATCACTAGCAGGAAAAAAAAAAAAAAGACTAGAAATAGCACAGTTGAAACTTAAGAGAGTCCTAGAAACCGAGTGACACAAAGCATGATGCTTATCACCATGGAAATGGCGAGAAGTGACGAGATTCCAGCTACATTTTAAAAGAATCTGTGAAGGCATGGCTTTATAAATATCCTAAGTACTTATACAGTGATTGAATATATGCGCAGCCAAATAGAACAAGTGGATGTGCTTTCAGTGTTACAGTGTAGTTTGATGTCTGTGCGGAAGACTGGATCGGAAGCAATCCCTAACTGGGCCACTAGAGGTCTAGCATAAAAGTCAAATGCAACCAGCAAACTAAGCTATTACTGAAGTTTTGTAACAAAGTTTAGAGATTATCCATCATCTATCTCTAATACGTATATATTTTGTGGAATGTATGTGTGCAAACATTATTAAATCTTGATTTAATGTGACTATATGATTGTATGAAAATAATAGGAAGATATCTATGTAAATAAAGCTCATGAAAAAGTAAAAAATATTTTAAGCATATTACTTTAAGTACAGTATCTTTTCAGGGTTTGAGAATGGCAGACTAAGAGTATTCAGACATATATCTAGTAAATTCTTAGGAACTTTTAGCTGATACTTGTTAAGCATCCTTGAAAAAAGAGGTATATTAAAATAATTGTGTGTGTAAACATCAACAAAAACATCTCAGTTTAATAGTGATCTTTAAATGGTTTTCTGTAAGTTTCTTTCAATATCTCAGCATAGAAGTGTAGTGTAAGAATTTGAATGTAAAAATCAAGATCATGATGGTATCAAATGTTTTAGTATACTGAAGTTTCTCAGAAAACCAAAATTATATATTCTACATGTGGATTGTAGCTTTTCAAAATATCAGTTATTTTAATTTTTGAGTAGCCGATTTTAAGGTGCAGCAGAAAATCATGAAATTCTTTGATTTCACAGGTTTTTTCCTAACTCGAATAAATAAGTTAATGGGATCACTGTTTAAAGCATTTATTTCATCTTAAGAGTATTTATTTACTTTTATTTTACTGCATTCTCATTTTCTTCTGTGTACAGTGAAGATGTAAGAAGATAAAGAATAACACTAAGGTTTACATGTGCTGAGAAGAATTATGAAAAAAATATTTCTTGCATATTTAAACTTCAACTTCAATTCACTTTATGAAGACTTTTCCAAAATGTCATTTCATTGTGTCACTCTGAAGTCAGAGTAACATCACAAAACTCCATGAACCTCTCCTAGGCTCAGATTTGGTTAAGAAATGAAATGAAATAAAAATTACTCAGTCTACTTACACCATATTGCTGAACAAACTATACCGAAATGAGTATCACCTTATGTATTGTTAAACAATGTAGCAATATAAACACTAGCAAAACAAGAATGAAGATCATCTAACAACTAGGAAGTGGCTTATATTTAAAATGAGAAAATAAGACCTTTAAGTTTAACATTTTTTTATAGAAAGATAAATGAAATATATGCTAGTCAATTGTTTCCTAACCGATGAATAGTATTAAAATGCATAGTTTATTGGGTATAAGTATAGTAGAAAGGTACATGAGTAAAAATTTTCCAAGGAATCAAAACATAAAAATATATACAGAAGATTTTTGCTTGTCTTCTTATTGATTTAACAATTTATGTCTTTAAAAATGGCAATGCTTCTAAGTATTATGAATTCATTTACATCCAGCATAAATTTTGAGTCAGTAACATTTCTGTTTAAAAAAAAATCACTTAGAGATTAATAAGTAGTGATAATATTTGCGTAAAATGAGAAATAGTAAGGTGGTTGCATTTTATTATGAAACAAAAATAATTGTGAATTTAAAATCTAAATTATTTAACATTTTGATATTACTGGGCATATTATTTTATTTTCAACACATATAACTAAATTACATTAACACTGGAGTAAAATGATTTTAAGCACAGGAGATGAAATGCTTTTCTACTCACGTGAACCTTTTAGTAAATAGGTTAAATCCGTAATTAGTTCCAATGGGGATTTGCATTTTACATTTACTCATTTGTCAGTAAAACTGATTCTCTTTTTACCATACTAGAAATGTCTAAATCATTCTATATCATAAAATTTGGTAACATAGCACCATCATGTGGTTAATTTTTAAATAGCTGCTAAGAACAAAATTTAAAACTTGGAAATATTTACATAGGCAGGAATATATCTCCATTTGTTAAATGTAAGTTGCTTCTATTTTCAGGCACTCTGACATATCTATTTCCAAAGAAAAGTTGTCTTCCTTTATTTGCTTCTGTAAATGTGATGTACCTGTGTTTATCGCTATTTGTGTTGACATTGCATTATTTTCTTGAAGTCTCAAATCTAAATTAACTCCAAATTAATATAATCAACAGTTTGTCTGCTACCTTGTAAATTTTTATAAATGCATATTCTATGAAATTTTTCATATTCCAAGTGTCTACAGATGTATTTTTTCTACAACAATAAAAATGTACTTAATCCTGTTTCTCCTTTCCTGTTGCTGGGATTGTTTACATTGCTGTGTTAGAGCCTAATTCCACTGACTTCCCAAGAAACTTGGCCAGGGATTCCTCCGAGTAGGGGTTAAAACTTCAGTTTCTCCTCCTATTGTTGACTTACAACCCTCAACATTCCAGTTACAATAGGTCTTCCGTCAGTCTCACTCTTAATCTACCTGCAAGTTATCATTACACCATGAATGAATGGTCAAACTACCTCTGTCACTTTCCATAATTTTTTTCCTGATTTCCACTGCTGAAAAAGAGTATATGACATATTTCCCACTACCATCTCCTCCAAACTCAGTGCAGCCAAGCTCAAGCTATTTATCAGGTGCATCAAATTTATTACAATGTGTCTGCTAGCAGTGGCTAGCTTGGCCTCACCCTGCATAGAAAGCCCTGCTTAACATGAATGTCAGCTTACTTCATTCCTGCTTAATATTTTCTCCCTTTCTCCAGTCTATCAGATAAAGCTGACTACTTCTTACTTTCTTCCCAAAAAGTTGTTTTTCAAAGTACCTGTAATATTTTTGGTGCCCATGTTTACAGGACATTTGATTCTTCTTTCTGTATTTAAGTGCCTAGAAGTATTCTTTCATATTTTTGTTCTCATAAAGAAAATTCCTGAAAATAGAGCTATTTAAAAATGTTTATTAGCTAAAAGAAAAACAATATCTTGTGTTGTATTTTTCATCTCTGATGAACTTATTACCTTTTTATTCGAATAAAATTTGATGTTCATAATCTTTTGCAAAGTATGCAGAAAAATACTGCTAGTTTTCAATACTGATTTCAC